TTTGTGTGAATTTATGGTAGATGGATTTCTTTTTATGCTGACTTTCAAATTTTTTGATACAAAGTGTCAATTTCATGTAATTCATAGGTGCAATTCTAAGATAACCTCAATGCCCATCCTTCCTTCTATTCTGTTTTTATTTTATTTTTTAATTAAAAAAAATTTTTTTTGACAGGCAGTTAGACAGTGAGAGAGAGAGAAAGACAGAGAGAAAGGTGCCCCAACCGGGACTAGAACCCGGAGTGCCGGCACCGCAGGTGGAGGATTAGCCTAGTGAGCCGCGGCGCCGGACCCTTCTATTCTATTTTATCTTTAATTTTGCAATGACTTAATTTCAGTCTACTCTATAATCACAGGCTTCATTCAGCACTAACTGTAATATTCAACAAGGAAAAAGGATGAAGACCAAACTTTCACAGGAATATAAACAAGAGGTAAAAACAAAAATCAAATGTCCATTTCATTCCTATAGATTTTTTTGTATTCTATATTAACTGCCATGTATCAGAGAACACATGCGATGTTTGTCTTTTGGGGACCAGCTTATTTCACTAAGTATCATGGAACCTGGTTGGACCTATTTTGTTGGAAAAGCCAGGATTTCATTCTTTCTTATGGCTGAGTAGTATTCCACAGTGTGTATATACCACATTTTCTTTGTACAGTCATCTGTTGATGGACATCTGGATTGATTCCCTGTCTTAGGCATTGTGACTTGAGATGTAGTAAACATGGGAGTACAAATAACTCTTTGATATGCTGATTTCATTTTGTTTGGGTAAATTCTGAGGAGTGGGATGCCTGGATCATATGGCAGATCTGTTTTCAGATTTCTGGGGAATCTGCATATTATTTTTCTTAATGGTTATACTAGTATACATTCCAACCAACAGTGTACCAGGGTACCTTTTTCCCCACATCCTCACCAGCATTTATTATTTTTTGATTTTTGGATGATAGCCATTGTAAGTGGGGTAAGGTACAGCCTCATTGTGGTTTTGATTGGCATTTCCCTGACAGCAAGTGATCCTGAGTATTATTTCATATGTCTATTGGCCATTTGCATTTCATCTTCTGAAAAATTCCTGTTCTTGTCTTCCATCCAGTCTTAACTAGATTTTGTTGTTGTTGAGTTTCTTGAGTTCTTTATATATATATATATATAAAATATATATATATCCTTTATATTAACCCTTTATAGGTTGCATAGTTTGCAAATATTTTCTCCCATTCTGTCAGTTTCCTCTTGACTTTCTTAAGTATATTTTGCAGTGCAGAAGCTTCTTAGTTTAGTGTAATCCCGTTTGTATACTTTTTTTTTTTTTTTTGTACAGGCAGAGTGGACAGTGAGAGAGAGAGAGAGAGAGACAGAGAGAGAAAGGTCTTCCTTTTTTTTGCCGTTGGTTCACCCTCCAGTGGCCGCCGCGGCCAGCGTGCTGCGGCCGGTGCACTGCGCTGATCCGAAGGCAGGAGCCAGGTGCTTCTCCTGGTCTCCCATGCGGGTGCAGGGCCCAAGCACTTGGGCCATCCTCCACTGCACTCCCAGGCCACAGCAGAGAGCTGGCCTGGAAGAGGGGCAACTGGGACAGAATCCGGTGCCCTGACTGGGATTAGAACTCGGTGTGCCGGCGCTGCAAGGCGGAGGATTAGCCTATTGAGCCACGGTGCCGGCCCCATTTGTATACTTTTGCTTTGACTGCCTGTACTTCTGGGGTCTTTTCCAGGAAGTCACTGCCTATGCCCATGTCTTACAGAGTTTCCCTGATCTTTTTCTCTGTTAATTTGATGCTATCAGGTCATAGATTTAGATCATTGATCCTTTTTTTTTTTTTTTTTTTTGACAGGCAGAGTGGACAGTGAGAGAGAGAGACAGAGAGAAAGGTCTTCCTTTGCCGTTGGTTCACCCTCCAATGGCCGCCGCGGCCGGCGCGCTGCGGCCGGCGCACCGCGCTGATCCGATGGCAGAAGCCAGGAGCCAGGTGCTTCTCCTGGTCTCCCATGGGGTGCAGGGCCCAAGCACCTGGTCCATCCTCCACTGCACTCCCTGGCCACAGCAGAGAGCTGGCCTGGAAGAGGGGCAACCGGGACAGAATCCGGCGCCCCAACCGGGACTAGAACCCAGTGTGCTGGCGCCGCTAGGCGGAGGATTAGCCTAGTGAGCCACGGCGCCGGCCCATTGATCCTTCTTAAGTTGATTTTTGTATAAGGTGTAAGGTCTTGTTTCATACTTCTGCTTGTGGAGATCCAGTTTTCCTAGCACTATTTGTAGGAGAGACAGTCCTTTATCCAGGGCTCAATTTTACTTACTTTGTCAAAGATTAGCTGGTTGTAGATGTGTGGATTGATTCTCCTGTTCCATTTGTCTACTCGTCGTTTTCTTTTTGCCAGTAACAGGCTGTTTGATTAAAACTGCTCTGTATTTGTCTTGAAATCTGGTATTGTGATGCCTCCAACTTTTTTTTTTTTTTTTTTTTTTTTTTTGGTGTTTAATATTACTTCAGCTAGTCAGGGTCTCCTGTGTTTCCATGTGAATTTTAGCATCATTTTTATAGATATGAGAAAAATGCCCATAGTTTTTTTTAATTGAAATATTGAATCTGGGGCCAGCGCCGTGGTGCAGTAGGGTAATCCTCCACCTGCAGTGCCGGCATCCCATATGGGCACAGGTTTTAGTCTTGGCTGCTCTTCTTCCAATCCAGCTCTCTACTGTGATCTGTGAAAGCAGTAGAAGATGGCCAAAGTCATTGGGCCCCTGCACCCACATGAGAGACCGGGAAGAAGCACCTGGCTCCTGGCTTCAGATCAGCGCAGCTCTGGCCATTGCGGCTGTTTGGGGAATGAACCAATGGAAAAAGACCTTTCTCTCTGTCTCCCTCTTACTGTCTGTAACTTTGTCTCTCAAATAAATAAAATATTTTTAAAAAAGAAATATTATTGAATCTATAAGTTGCTTTGGATAGCATGGTCATTTTGATGATACTATTTCTTGCAATCGGTGAACATGAAAGATTTTTCCCTTTTTTGTGTCTTCTATTTCTTTCCTTAATGCTTTGTAATTTTCATTGTAGAGATCTTTCACAATCTTGGTTAAATTTATTATAAGGTATTTAAATTTTTTGTAGCTATTGTGAATGGTACTGATCTTACAAGTTCTTTCTCAGGCTATTGATTTTTGTGTGTTGATTTTATATCCTGTAACTTTATCAAACTCTCTTGTGAGGTCCAGTAGTCCCTTAGTGGAGTCTTTTGGTTCTTTTATATATAAGATCATGTCATCTGCAAACAGGGATAATTTGACTTCCTCCTCTCCAATTTATATCCTTTTGATTTTTTTTTCTTGCCTAATAGGTCTGGCTAAATCTTCCAAAACTGTATTGAATAGCAATGGTGAAAGCAGGTATCCTTGTCTGGTTCCGGATCTTAGTGGAAATGATTCCAACTTTCCCCTTCACTAATACTGGTTGTGGATTTTGTCATAGATTGCCTTGATAGTACTGAGAAATGTTTATTCTATATCCAATTCGTGTCATGTTTTTATCATGAAATAATGTTTTATTTTATCAAATGCTTTCTCTGCATCTATTGAGATAATCATATGGTTTTTATTCTTTAATTTGTTAATGTGATTTATCAAATTTATTGATTTGAGTATCTTGAACCATCTTTGCATACCGAGGATAAACCCCACTTGGTCTAGGTGGATGATCTTTCTGATGTGTTATTTGATTTGATTAGTTTGTATTTTGTTGGGGGTTTGTTTATCATGGATATTGATCTATAGTTTTTTTTTCTTTGTTGTATCTTTTCCTGATTTGGAATTAAGCTGATATTGACCTCAGAAAAGGAGTTTGGGAGTATTCCCTTCCTTTTAATTATTTTGAATAGTTTGAGAAGAGTTGAAATTTGTTCTTATTTAAAAGTTTGGTAGAATTTAGCAAAGAAGTCATCTAGCCCTGGTCTTTCTTTGTTAGGGTGGTCTGTATTATTGATTCAATCTTCTCTCAGTTACTGGTCTATGTAGGTTATTCATGATTCAATTTTGATAGATCGTAAGCGTCAAGAAATGTATTCATTTCTTCTAGATTTTTTTATTTATTTGAGAGAGTTAAGATGGAGGAAGAGACAGACAAAAAGGTTTTCCAACTGCTGGTTCACTCTCCAAATGGCTCCAGTGGCCTGAGCTGCACCAGTCTGAAGCCAGGAGCTTCTTCTGGGTCTCCCACATGGATTCAGATGCCAAAGCACTTGGGCCATCTTCCACTGCTTTCCCAGACCATTAAGAGAGAGCTGGTCCAGAAGAGGAGCAGCTGGGACATGAACCAGCACCCCGTGGGATACTGGAACCACAGGCAGAGGCTTACACTGCTGGCCCCATGATGATTCCTTTTATTTCTGTGATATCCATTGTAACATCATCTTTTTCATGTCTGCCTTTATTAATTTGTGTCTTCTCCCTTTTTTTGGTTAGTTGGGCCAATAGTTTATCAATTTTGTAAATTTTTTGAAAAGCCAGCTGTTCATTTCACTGATCTTCTGTTTATTTTTTGGTTTCAATGTTGTTTATTTCTTCTCTAATTTTAATTATTTCTTTCATGCTACTAATTTTGAATTTGGTTTGTTCTTGTTTTTCTAGGTCTTTGAGATGCATTGTTAGATCATGCATTTGTTGTCTTTTTGATTTCTTGATGTAGGCACTAGCTGCTGTGAAATTCCTATTATTAGTGCTTTTGCTTTTGTGATATGTTTTGTTGTCATCACTCATTTTTAGGATTTTTTAATTTCCCTTTTGATTTCTTTTTTTTTAGAAATTTATTCTGTTTAATCCACAAGCTTTATATAGCTTTAGTTTAAAAAAAAATCAACAAACAAACAACAAAAAAAAAGTGAAAGCAAGACACTATTTCAAAGTCCGGGCCCTTCCAGCCTTCCAAATACAAGAGCTCTGAAAGCTGTATATACCAATTGGAAGAACAAGACAAAAATATGATGGAGCCATGACATTTCATAAAACAAAATTTTATATAACTGAAGGATCCTTCCTGGGACTAGTTAATTGCCTTTACAAGAAAGAAAACAAACAAACAAAAAAAGAACACCCCAGAACAGTATAGAATGAAATTCCAGTGTTCCAAATCAACTTGTTCCACATGGACAGAGACCCACAGTGTCCTGGCAAATGACGTGGCTTTGCTTTCTGTCTCTTCCAAGAGCTCCAATCCTGATTCACTTCAGCAGAGACTCCACAGGCAACAGGAAAGATTGTGGCATTAAAATACTCACTTACACTTTTGTGTCGTTCAACAGTGGTCTTATTTCTGGGCAAGCTTACAAACCATGAGGTTGGAAGCATAACTTACATGGGTGGTAAGAGACTCAAATGAGAAAAGGTAAAGAAATAAAAAAGAAAAAGAAAAAAAAGAGTGAAAGAGGAACCCCTTTGGAAATAGCCAGGGGCATTTAAAGGAACCATAAGAATGCCAACAATATTTAAACCCCCTTTTTTAAAAAGGAGATTTTTTTTTGGCTTAAAATATTTCACTCTAAATGAATGTATGTCAGCTGTCAATGAAAGAATGTCACTAATACACTGTGGACACCTTTTGCAATGTAAATCCATGCCCTTTTTTTTTTTACATGGTGAACTTCAACCTAGCAATTATTACAACAAATGTTATAGTCTAAAGCTCAAACACATTTTAGCAATTTTGAAATTGAATTGCGTACAAACCAAATAAAATGTACATCCTAACAAACGTTTCCACCTAGGACTGTGGGGACACCTGAGCCTTCCGCATGGACCGCAGAGCCTTCTCCCGCAGGTGCTTCTCTAGGTCATCAAGGTTATCTTCAGCTTCACTTTCAGTCTCCTTCTTGGGCTCCAGCGCTGCCTCTGCTTCCTCCTGTGCTGAGGTGGTCGTGGCAGCAGCGACAGCTGCAGGGGGGGACGGCGGCAGCAGCTGCCACCGCCACCGCTGCCACCGCCTTCTCCTTCTTGTGTTTTTTGTGCTTCTTGTGCTTCTTATCCTTTTTGTGTTTCTTGTCCTTCTTTTTCTTCTTTTTCTTTCCACCTCCTTCTTGATCTGAATTCCTTGCCGGTGACGGGCTTGGTGTTGGGCTCTTAGCCTTTTTGACCGGTACCGCTGGTGACCAGTTTGTAGAGGGCGACTGAGACTGGACAGGGGACGGAGGTGCTGGAGGTTTTTTAGCTGCTGGCTCAGGAGATCCAGACACAGATCGGGAGGATGAGACCCTCCTTACAGACTGTGGGCTTGGAGAGGCAGTCTTTTTTGTCTTTTTAGGCTCCGGAGTCCGGGAGACTCTCCTAATGGGCCTAGTACTTGGAGATGGAGACTGCCTTCTTTGGGGTGAGGACGACGGTGCTCTCCGCGAGGGTGGAGGGCTGGAGGAGGTCTGAGGAACTCGAGGCCGAGGGGAAGGCGAGTGCCGCTTGTTTGGCTGTGGCGAGCGGGCTTCCCGGGCGGAGCGGCTTGGCGAAGAGCCTTTCCTATGCTTGGATGACAACGAAGGCGAGCGTCTCTTGGTGACCGGCGAGCTTCTCGGTTTGGGAGGTGGAGAATGCGAGACTCCCCGCTTTGGTGGTGGAGATGGCGACGCCCTCCGTTTTGGAGGGGGAGGAGGAGAAGGCGTCCTTCTCTTGGGAGGTGGAGAAGGGGTGTATCTCCTCTGTATGGGAGGGGAGTACCTCCGAGGGGAAGGCGAGCGTCGGCGTGGCGGTGGAGAAGGAGTCCTTCGTCGGGGCGGTGGTGTAGGAGACCTGCGCCGTCGCGGAGGAGGAGCGGGAGAAGGAGAGCGCCGCCTTCTGGTGGTTGGTGGTGAGGGACTTCTCCTCCGTCTACCACTGTTGGTCACTGGCGACTGCCATCGCTTTCCCATCTGCATCCGAGGGGAAGTCTCTTTCTGGCGCTTTCGTGGTGAGGGAGAGGCACTCCTGGAAGGGGAATGTCTCCGCCGCCTGCCTACCTCACCATTCTTCACGTGGGATCTTTTGGGTCGCTCATCTTCTGAGGACGAAGAGGAGCCACAGTCAGATGAAGACTGCTGGTTCTGTCGTCTGTACTGGCGTCTCTGCTGCACAGAATCTGCTGCAGCCATTTTGCCACCTTTGTCTTCTTCTGATTCAGATAATTCTACTTTTCTAGGTTTCGGTGCTGGTGAAGGGGATTCTCTTTTCTCAGTACCTTTATGCTTTGTCACTTTACCTGAAGTTCTCCCTGGAGACACAGAAACACGGCTTTTTCTCGTACGGTTTGACTGCTGGGGTGTCGGGGAATGGCGAGTTTTTGGTGGTGGAGTTGCTGGAGGGGATGGCCTATGCCTTCGCCTTGGAGGACTCGCGGAAGGAGATAGCCTGCGAGTTTTTCGAGGGGGACTGGATGTCCTCTTAGGAGGTTTCTTTGGCGGCGACCAGGAACGAGATGAAGAGGATGATGAGGTACTTGCAGACAAGGATGCTGATGAATGTCGTCTTCTTCGCACTGGAGATCTGCTCCTCCTGTGCCGTGGCGGAGGAGGCATTCGTCTTGGAGGAGTTCTTCTCCGAGGGGATGGGCGCCTCCTCGGGCTTGGCCGTCTTCTAGGAGAGTATGATCTTGATCGGGATCTATGGCGCCGTCTAGGTCAAGTGTGAGAAGGAGAGCGAGACTGCGTCTGTGACCTTGATTTGGAACGTGACCGAGATCGTGCTCTGGTCTTCTCCTTTTCCTTTTTGGAATTTTTTTCTGGAGAAGGTTCTTTAGGTTCTGGTACAGGTTCAGGCTTGGGAACTTTCAGGATGTCACTTCTCGGGCTTCGAGACCGTTCCCTTTTTTTTCTGCTGCTTTCTTTTTCTTCCTTATCCCTCTTATCTTTGTCTTCATCTTGCTTTTTCATAGATGCCAATTTTTCTTGCTCAATCTGTCTCTGTTTTATTTCTTCTTTCTTCAGTTCCAGGAAAGCAGAGGGGATTCCAGCGATGTTTTCTTGTGCACTTAACAGCAGAGGCCACAGTTCTCCCATAAATTCTCTAGCATTTTTTCCCATTCAAAAACCCAGTCAGGTTGATTTGCATCATTTTAGAGTCTGGATTCTTCACTTCCAGCTGGTTGAATATAAACTCAATCACAACATCATCTTCAAACCCAAGGATTTCCGTTACTCGTTTTGTTATCCAAGGCTTTATAACTTCCAAATTTACTTTGCTCATGTCCACCTTTTTTTCTAGGCATTCTGCAGACTTCAGCTGCTTCAGTAGTTTCTTCTGTTTGTTGCTGAACCGATTATCCTGTTCCGCACTTGTTCCGCGGAAGAATCCCGCGTCCATCTTGCTGCCTCGCTTGGAGATCGCTCCCTATCCCCTCCCTTTTGATTTCTTCTATGACCCACCATTCACTCCCAAGTGTGTTCAATCTCCATGTGTTTACATATTTTCTAGGGTGCCTTAAATTGTTAATTTCCAGGCACATTCTATTGTGGTCAGAAAAGATACATGATATGATTTCAATTTTTTTGAGTTTGCTGAGATTCGACTTATGGCCTAGCTTCTGATCTATCATTGAGAACATTTATGCACTGATGAAAAGAATATGTATTCTGTAGCTGTGAGATGAAATGTTCTGTATGTATCAATTAGGTCCATTTGGTCCATAGTGTAGATTAGGTCTATTATTTGTTGATTTTCTGTCTAGTTGTTCTGCCCATTGATGAAAGTAGGGTATTAGAGTCTATATCTTCCTTTGCATCCATTAATATTTGTTTTATGTAGCTGGGTGCTCTGGCATCGGGTACATGTACATCTACTATAGTCATATCTTCCTGTTGAATTGATCCCTTAATTATTATATAATGTCTTTCTTTGTCTCTTTCGACATTTTTTATGGTATAGTCTTTCTCTGGTAATAGGATGGCTACTTATGCTCATTTTTGCTTTCTGTTAGCATGGAATATCTTTTTCCATCCTTTCACTTTGTGTCTGTGTGTATCTTTGTTGGTGAGGTGTGTTTCTTATAGGCAGCATATAGATGTGTCTTGCTTTTTAATTCATTCAGCCAGTCTGTGTCTTTTAATTGGAGAATTTAGGCCATTTACATTCAAGGTTATTATTTAAAAGTAATTACTTGATCCTAATGTTTCTCCATAGTATTCCTATTGTTTTCTTTGGATTGCTTTTGTATTTTGACTAGGAGATTATCTGCCTTCATATTCTATCATAATACTATTTTGCTCTGATTTTGTTTGTAGCACATCCTTAAGTATCATTTGTAAGGCTGGACAAGTGGTCACAACCTCTTTCAATTTCTGTTTTGGAAGGTCTGTGTTTCACCTTCATTATAAATGAGCGCTTTACTGGATACAGTATTCTGGGTTGACAGATTTTTCTTTTAAAACTTGGACTATTTCTCTCCATTATTTCCTAGTCTGTAGGGTTTCTGATGATAAGTCAGAAGTTGTTATAATTGAGATCCTTTGAAGGTAACCTGGCATTTTTCTTGTTCACATAGGAGAATCTTTTCTTTAAGCTTTGTTTTTCAAATTGTGACTATAGGGGCTGGCTCTGTGGCACAATGGGTTAATCCTCCACCTGCTCTGGTCATTGTGGCCATTTGGTGAACAAACCAATGGAAGAAAGACATTTCTCTCTGTCTCTCCCTCTCACTGTCTATACCTCTCAAATGAATGAACAAAATCTTTTTAAAAGACTGTGAGTATAATATGTCATGGTTGAGAGTTTTCCTGATTGTGTCTGTTAGGATTTCTTTGTTTCCTGTACTTGGATCTTTCTCCAAATTAGAGAAGTTTTCTGCTATTATTTTATTGAATAGGTCTTCTAATCAATTCTCTGTTTCCACAGTTTTAGGAAATCCTAAAATGTATATGTTAGGTCACTTGATGATATCCCATAAATCTAGAATACTATTTTCAGTTTTTCTAATTTTTTTCTTTTTTTTTTTTTTGTCTAGATATTTCCAAAGATTTTTCTTCTAGCTCAGATATTTTTTGTTTTGCTATGCCAAGTCTGTTGTTAAGGCTTTCCACTGTATTTTTTATTTTACATATTGAATTCTTCATTTCTAATATTTCAGTTTAATTTCTCTTCAGGATCTATATCTCCTGGCAAAATTTCCCATCCGTATCATGTATGGATTTCTTTAACTCAGATATTTGCTTCTCTGTGTTTTTGACTAATCTTATGATCATTGTTTTGATTTGCATTTCAAGCATTTCACCAATATCTTAGTCTTCACATTCTTTTTTTTAAGATTTATTTATTTTATTTGATAGAGTTACACAGAGAGAGGAGAGGTAGAGAGAGAGAGAGAGGTCTTACATCTGCTGGTTCATTCCCCAACTGGCCACAATGGCCGGAGCTGTGCTGATCTGAAGCCAGGAGCCAGGAGCTTCTACTGGGTCTCCCACATGGGTGCAGGGGCGCAAGCACTTGGGCCATCTTCTACTGCTTTCCCAGGCCATAGCAGAGAGCTGGTTTGGAAGTTGAGCAGCTGGGACTCGAACCGGTGCCCATATGGGATGCTGGCGGTGCAGGCAGAAGATTAACCTACTGCACCACAGTGCCAGCCCCCCAAGTGTTGTCTTAAACTCGACACCAACACTCTGCCTATATGCATGCCTCTCAGTCTCTAACAATGCTGACTACTTGGGTTGTTTATGAATTTTATAACAAAGAATGCTTCGTGGAACATCTTCCTATATTATGAAATGTTGTCATGTTCTCCAGTCTATTTTTCTGAAAAGTTTATTCTTAAAATTACTGGGTTTGAGGTATGGAATACAGCTTTTCCAGGCTGCTTAGACACTTGATCACATTGGCTTTCACCGGGCTGTTAACAGTTACCATGCTTGCTGGTCGTGAGACGTTTTGTGTTTGATCTTTCTGAAGCTTGCATTCACAAAGCCTTGTGGACAGCCTCCAAGTGAACACGCCCTGAGCTGAGTTCTTTACGACAAGTGATGTTTGGCCAAGGCTCTCTGTTATCATTGAATAAGCAAACAGAACTGAGTTCCATGTGTACCACAGCATTATTAGCAAGCCTGTGGACTTAGTACCTCTGCCTACATTCAGACTAGGAAATGAGTGTTGAATGCAGGTCAGAAGTACAAAGGAGGGCCGTGTCCCTGGAGTTTGCTTTTGATCTCAGTATGTGTAAAGCATGGGAAGGAAGAGAGGACCACCACTAAGAAACAATAAGCTCTTGAGATTTTGTGCCAGATTAGAAACGTTGTTATGTGAACCTTGCTGAACTCCTAGGAGTGAGTATAACTCATTTGGGCCCGACACATCCAATTTCTGGATTTTAAAGGAATAAGAATGACCCAGTGTTCTTTGTATTGATGCTTTATTTTTGTTATCGGTTTTAAGAGTTATTTATTTATTTGAAAAGCAGCGTGACAGAGAGAATTATCTTCCATCTGCTGGTTCACATGGCTGCAACAGCCAGAGTTGGGCAGGCTGAAGCCAGGAGCCTGGAACTGCATTCAGGTCTCCCACATGGTGGCAGGGGCCCAAGTTCTTGGGCCATCCTCTGCTGCTTTCCAAGGCACATTAGCAAGGAGCTGGATGGGAAGCAGAAGAGCGGATACTCCAACTTGTGCTCTTAAGGAACGCTGGCATTGCAAGTGGAGGCTTAACCCAGTGCACCACAATATCAGCTCCAGTTTTCTTTGTGTTTGAAATGTATTAATTGCACCAGTAAAAGCAGTAGTTTTTTTTTTAAACTGAAGGAGATGTTTATTTGCTCTGAAATAGGTTTCCAGAGGGGAACATGATAGTTTTGGGGACCTTGATTCTGGTGTTCTGTATTCATTTAGGGCACCCAGACCTGAGACCAGCATCTGGGGTATGAAATGAGCTTAATGCTCTAGGTGTTACCTTTCTGTGATTTGGAAGAACTGTAACTCATCAAACTTTTACACCTAATTGTTTTGATGTTCGGCCCTAATCTATGGTGACATCCTCTTTTGTCCTTCATTTCTGAAATCCCCACCCTTCTGTTTCATGTTGGTGAAGTTCTATGATGGCCCCATACAATGAGGGACAAGAGATGGAAGACAGCGCTGCTACTGTTTCGTGTCCTGCTTACCAGGGAGTGGTCCTGTGTTTAGGTTCATGAGGTTAAAAGGAGGTGAACGTTCCTTCACTTTTGGGCAGCAGTTACCAGATGAGAACCGATTCAGGGAGGTCATGGCCATCAGGACTCAGCCTGCCGTTGTGTGTCTGCCTCGTGCTAGAGTTCTGTTAACTGCTCTCCTGCCTGCCTGAGTTACCCAGTAGAACACTACTGTCCTATAATGTCAGACATTCTCCTGGAATTACTTCTCAATTAACTTTCCCGGCATTTAATCATCAAAAACCCTACTTAGTGTCTAGGCAGTGGACGAAAGTGCCTGATGGGATTCCTTTTATTGGCAATAAGATGAAGTCCCTTGGAGCCCTACTGAATCGATTCTCATTAGACATTGATTCCTGGGCCGGGAGTTCAGCAGATTGTTGCTGCTGTGTTGCAGTGTGCATTCAGATGGCCTTTGTAGATAAATGCAAACTTAATGGACTCCAGACCCGGAATCTTGAATGTCTTCAGTCCGTAAAGTTTTATCTCAGAGGAGAGAGAGAATATGAATATGTGTGCTTGTGTTGTCATTGTCACGTGGTTCAGGGAAAAGAGAGAGGAACCAGGGTAGTTGGGGGCATAAATGAGAGCTGTCTGTTCACACTGACATCATACAAAATCAAACAAAAAAGAAATTGAGAAGAAGAATTTGAAAGTACCATGTAGTGAGGGCTGGTGTTGGGGTGTTGAGGGCTACGCTGCCACCACTGCACCGGCATCCCCTGTAGGCATCCGTTCATGCCCTGGCTGCTCCTCTTCCAATCCAGCTTCCTACTGTTGTGCCTGGGAAAGCAGTGGAGGATGACCCAAGTCCTTGGGCCCCTCTAGCCACATGGGAGTTGAAGAAGAAGCTCCTGGCTTTGGTCTGGCCCATTCCTGACCTTTGACAGCCATTTTGGGATATTAAATCTTTTTCTGTAACTCTGCCTTTCAAATATATAAAACAAATTAAAAAAAAAAAAGAAAATACCATCCAGTGTGGTTTGGAACTACTGAAAATCTTGCTATAGGAGACTCCTACATTACTAGTTGAAAGTATACACTCTTATTCCATCGATGGAGAACAATGTGACCATAACATTAACATTGCAGCCTATAATCTAGTGATTTCATCTCCAAAAATTATCCTGAGGATGTACTTCAGACTCTTCAAATGATAGATGTTTGAGGTTGTAATTGTAATCTTGTTCAAAATGTATACTAATAAGATATCAGGAAGATAAAATATGG